GGGCCCATCCGGAAGCCAACTGGCAGTGGCTCCATCGGACACGGGGAAGGCTTCTAGCAGCTTCTCACAGAAGCCACCCCTGTCACACCCCTGCTACCAAACCCTCATGAAACCCAACCACAGAGAAAATAAAGAGAGGAACGTGGCATTAATTACTAACTGGTAACTTAATAAGGCATCCTCTGCAAAGGGCCCTGTGTGGCTGCAGCACTCTGCAGCGTGAGACAGAACTGCAGCAGCCGCTTCCTTCCCCGGCTCTCCCTGGGGCTGCTTCTCTGACCACAGTCTGCTGTAAGCCAGCTGCAAATTACTTCTTCCTCTCTGCAGTCTGGCCGGCGGCTGATCTGTCCGTTCCTACGCACACACCTTTCCCACCTGGCCACGCTGCCCCACGAGTCAGAGGGCGACAGCATCTCCCGTTACCCGTGCTGAGGGTACCACTGCCAGGACCGCTGCCAGGGGATCAGCTGGTGCAACCTACATCACCGTCTCCGTTCCACTCGGTTTTCTGTACGTTTAGTCTGTCTTTACACAAGATGTATCCTCTAGGTACCTGTGCGCTGCAGCGAATGACATAAACATGTATCTGCGCACAAGAATATCCAACAGAGAGTTGTGGATATATACTGCTACAGTGTCTAACATCTTCTGCCTGTTATATGAAGTCTTCCACTACACTAAGGTGGTTGGTGATGATTTACCTGTCATAAATATAAATTATGTCGTGTCTCTACCTCCTATGCATGGGGATGTATCTTCACAGACTTTACATTATAACAAAGGAAATACGTTCACATATCCAGCCCCTATTACTACACAAATTAGGCAAATACACAGCAGCAGACTGCACGGCTCTTACACATTTGAGGATTGAGGCTGCTATTGTTAGGATTTAAGTGAGACAGTACAGACTGCCCAATCTGGCCTGCAGGATGCGTGTTTGCAGTATGTGGAAATCAAGGTATTAATCACACCATCTTTAAATCCCTGTATCCTGCTCAAGCAGAGACTGGCAGCAGTTACTACGGTCCAGAAACATTGGGCAAACTCCTCTAAGTCACACTCCAGACCCCCCTGCTGTACTATGCCATTTTTGGGTCAGACCCTGGCAGTGGTGATAGAGCTACAAGGGGTTTACAAACAGGGGAGGAGGGACTTTAAGCATTCAGTTGCAGACCTTGCTCTCAAGCCTGCTGACAACATTAAATGAATGCACGCAGTGCTGAAACTCAGGAATTTGCCCCAGTCTGCGCAGTGCATCACACAACGAATACCCAGAACAGACGGTGTTGGATATAACTGTGTTAAACTTCAGACCTGGCCTACTAATTCATGTCGATAACCTGTTGAATGAAAACCATCTCTCATCAAATAAGGCACATGGTATGTTAAATAAAATACCTGACCTAGTACATCATGTCAATATTAAATCAAATTTCTCTTCCGAGACGCAGATTGAATTATCATGCACAGCTAGTGATGACAAGATTACTATGCATTAGCCTTCATTAACAAACGTGCCAAGTTCATATATCACCTGAGTTAAAATTAATACATGGCATGACAAAGGAGATCTATCAGTAAAAGGCAAGACCCCAAGAATCTGCAACTTGACAACGCACTTCCTTTGACTTCCCAGAGACCAAAATCTCCTAGATGTTGTTTTGTCAAATGAGATATTTTTATTTTGATCTAATAATGGACAAGACACAAGAGAGATGCTTGAAAGCATCCCTTGTAGAAAATATTCCCATCAGATTAATTAAGCTTTCTACAGGATAGACAAAATAAAACCTTACAGAAT